AAGGACTTCAACCACACGTTTCTAATTGGCATTCTACGTGAGCAAGTACCAGATACCCTTCCGAAAGAAATGGATGAATCCAGAACATTTCCTAATACATTAAATCATGGTTAAAAGTAGGGCAGAAAAGAAGTGGGATTTGTCTTGTATTTTAATCTTTGTGTTTGATTTTGCTGCCATTTCTTGTAGAAATACACTGGGGACTTTCATTGAGTTGAGGTAATATTTCTGTTGAAGGGTTTCGCACGTGCAATGACGATAATGAACTAGTTTTTAGTATCTGTGACGCAAATTCATGCATGATCAGAGTAGATGAAAGCCAGTAAAAGTTCAAGCATATTTCTGGTAATGGTACTAAGGCTTGGAACTCATCCCTTAGCTAAAGAAAAACGCCAAAGTGCTAATGTCCTGAAAAGCAGATAGAATTGATACCGAATTTTTTAACACAATAAACCAAAACCGTTATCTTCCTTCAGGTTTCAATTCGTCGCACGTGGTTAAGTGAAAATAAAAAGATTATCTAAAAGAAATTATGCTAAGAACCTGGGAAGATGTAAGTAGCTAAATCATTTATAAGAGCCCATTAAAATCACTAAGACAAAATAAATGCCGGAGCACATTTATCCTTGTCCAAACAAGAAAAATTTTTATTTTTCTCCGCTTCAAATGGCTGATAATTAAGGCATAACCCCCTTATCTATTTGTCTCCTGGCACTTACAATCATCCCTCTTGCCGATTAGATTATTTTAAGATTTCTAACATAAATCTTATTCTTTTTTCATCCCTTTATATCAGTTTAGCGCTCTAGTATACCAAACTTTTCGTATGGTAGTTGTGACAAATAAAATGTGACAGCTGTAATCCTCTCTCCTGATCACATTTATGACCCTCGTCTCTTATACAATTTTATTCCAAGTCGAATAGTCACTTTTTTGACATAAAAGATGAATACATGAGTTTGAAAACGAATCACACTCACCACTGGCTCCCAGTACACAAGTTCTTGCAGCATAAAGTCTGGGGAGTGATCTCTTCCAAGCAAACTGATACCATAATTGTTGTTGTTCACCTCGTGTAGGGCCAGACGGAGGTCGAAAGGACTGTAGGTGACGGGCGACTCTGACTTGCCTCCACTCAGTTTCATTTCGTGTTCAGGATTCCAAGAAACAGCGGAGTAAATTTCCTCTTCCCCATCCTCCTCCAACTTCCCAACTTTCCCTTTGGCAGAAAAATCGGATGAGGTGCCTATAGACAATTCGCTTCGTCCTTCATCAAGTTCATCCTTAGTCTCCTCATCCTCACTTAGCACCTCACCAAGCGGACAGAGATCAAGATCAGAAGACACTAGGCGCTTATTATGGCTTGTTGGCCGTGCGCGCCGTCTGGATCTAGCACTTCCAGGACGTGAAGAGGACCCTCGAAGAAAATTTCGAGTACATGTGCAATTAAGAGATAAAAATATGAATATAGCAACTATAATTAGGCACTTGATTTAGCCGAATTCCAAGCAAGGTAGCTCGAATGGCCCAGTGTCATAAGCGACTATATAAATTTAGTTTTAAAAGAAAGATATACCTTAATGAACCTGTATAAATCAACGGAGGTGTATTTTACTAACAATAATCCTAACTTGTAAATAATCTCTGTATTTTTCCGTATTCTATGCTAATTTGGCAAATATTTATTTTGTGGTTAAATAGTTTGGGGGGAAGAGGCATGCACAGCAGAGCATTTTCATGAATTTCTTAAACACTTAAATATATGCGGAATAAAAAGAAAAATGCATGCCTTGAAAAAGACCCTACATAATCGTGTACCGTTGCTGGAATCATTTTTAGAGTGAAAGTGCACAAATATTTATTGATTGATTTCGGTAAACAATCGTTTATCAACTCATAAGACGGGTGGGTTTGTGGAATAAAATTGCAGTGATATGCATTCAAAAGTAAGTTCGAATCCACGATGGACTAATACGTACTTAGAGAGATAGATAAATAGTGATATAGATAGATGGATAGATAGATGGATTGATCGATTTATTGATTGATAGATGGGTAGATGAGTATATATAAAGAAGGGGCTACTAAAATCTAGATATCATCGGCATCAACGATGAACTTTTAACTCGAGGCGTGCCGATCCAGAGACGTTAATCCTCAAGATATAAGCCCTCGAAACAAAAGTCAAAATAAATGTAACGGCAACAAAATTCTTCGGCAATTGTTTGGCCTATTAAGCGGCCATATACGACCAAATTGCTCAAGGAGAACTCAAGATGACTAGTCGACTCTATTTTATACGCTACATATACTCACTGCTAAAAACAAATCACACTTCTGGATAATTACAGCATAGTCTAACATCAGTAATCGGAATTTAATGACCTAAGGAAAGGCATAGCTAAGATTTATGTACGCTCGAGCGTTTTTCCGGTTTATTTGATGAGCTGTAAGTCTGTATGTGTATAAGTCAGGATACGAAACCAATAGTCGCAATTCTTCACTCCAGGGTAATCAAGGTTCATTGACCCAAGGAAAAGTATTAATGAGATTGGATAACTCAGTACATCTAACTGAGTTGATGAGCTAAGCACAACTGCTGAACAAATGTGAATATGGCTATAACTATCACTGAGCTGAGCAGATGAATCACCTTCATCTTGTCGGTAGCGCAATACTTCTTCTCTCTTTAAGTCTACGAATCAAGCAAAAGTGGCTCTCGTCCTACTTCCTACATTCATACCTTGCATTCAAATTATTCCCTAACCTCTTTTATATTGTGTTTACCAGAGAAAAGATACGCTTTATGCTTTTATATTTTGTATCCATTACCTGCTTCATGCCCAACAACTTATGGCCGTTGAACCTAGCAAGTTTTACAGCATTATGTGTTCAGCTGTTTTTTTGACAATTAGGCCTTACCAGTATAGGGGCGACTATATGAACATACAAAGTTGTAACAGCTAATTTTTGAAGATGGGTAATATTTCTCTCTAAAAGAAGGGATAATCGAAGAGTTTCCGAGTTTCTTTGAAAACTGTCTTTATCCCCCTCTTTTTCACTAGTTCTCCTATCTTCTTGAAAAGATAACATGACGGCTTGCCTCTCTCTGACTAAATAGTCTCCGCCTGAAATTTA